GTAAACCCAATCTGCAACAGAAAGCAACTAGGCTTCCACAGGACTAGGCTTCCACAGCAATTAGTTCGCAGACCTACCCACATCAGTACTTCTTCGGGCCTCTCGCAAGCGCTGACAGCAGCTCCTCCATGTGAGCATGTCAAATGTCTAGACTGAAATCCCAGAAAGTGTGCGGAGACTGTGGCACCCTGCCATCCTGGCATCTTCCCAGCATGTTACCAGGCGCCCGGCCGTAGACAATGCCATCAGCTTGCAAACTGCGTGCTCGTGAGGCGCGGAACCTTGGAGTCTCCACAGCCTTTTGTGCTGCCAGAGTCCAGAGTCCAAACAAAGGTTCTACGGCAGTTCAGGCTCGCAAGGCAAACAAGCGCTGCCACCCTATGACCCACAGCCTCTGAGAGATTGCTGAAACTAGGAGGGCAACAACTGAAGAGCTTCGGCCCAATCGCTCCTTGCAGGGCCGAACTTCTACACCACGATAATCCCCTGCACGTTCTCAGAAAACATCCGATAGCTGTCAACTCTGAAGTCATCGCAAACTCAGCAAAAGCAGCATGCAGGCCAGCACAATTTCGGGAGGCCTGGAAATCCTGAAGACTCAGGTATCACAGGGTCCTTGAGAACATTTTTGGATGAACAAAAATCACAGTTCAGACGGAGACTAGAGTCACACTTCTACAAACTGAGAGCCTCATAGAATTTCAATCAAATAGACAGAACGCAGGATCAGAGATCCGCAACAAGCAGCCTTGCCAGGCCTCCTCCGAAAGGCTGCCAAGGCCTGCGTCAGCTCCTCAAACAATCAAGTGGTATGGCAGTAGATGGAGAAAATCCTGCACAATTAAGTATTTATCTAAGGTGGTCATAGTACCAGTCCCTATTCAGAAAATACGCAACGGGAGCTGGTTTGAGAAATAATGATGTTATGCCCAGTGTCCTTCGGAGTGCGTGGGGCAGCATGGTCGGCTACTGCGCCTGGACAGCATTAAAATGGACGTGCCCTTATGCACTACAAGACCGCGCAGTAGCGGCGCTTCGGGGAAGGGGGCAACAACGAAGTGTAAGTGTAGTGTAATGTCACGCGGGTGGTCTCCCCCGGGTGTCGGGCATCCGTGTTTCTGCATGCACTTAGCTCAAAGCCCTCAAAATGAGGATGCCCGCGTGCTGCTGCCGCCGCTGCTGCGGCTGCTCACCCTAAAGGTTTTGTGTCTTTTCGTTGATTCTTCAAGTTGCTGGTGGTTGTAGGAGCGAGCACGCGCCTACGACGCCGGTAGCTCACCTGACAACTGTGCAAGCTGGGCCGGAAGCTTTGCATTCATACCAACTCCAGATTGACTGGAAAACAAACCCTTTGGAGCCCCGAAGGCTGCATTTTCAGTCAACCACCCCTTTGGATGGTTTGTCCTCGGCCTTCGGCGTAAAATGGGGTCTCAGTTGTGCTGATGATGCTCGCGTACAGAGCGTGCTTGCATACGGGGGAGCACAAGTATCGTCAACACAAATGGGGTCTCCTTTTGGGCTGAGTCAGGGACGAGACGACCTTTTCTGAAAACCAAAATAAACATCGAATATCATCGAATACACTGTAGCAAGAACATTACTTTTAAAGAGGCTTTGCATGGTCTTGAGCATCATCAGCACAATCGCCATAATTGGGGCTCCATTTGGGATTTTAGAAGGTGGGACGGCCAGGCCAGCCCATGCCGTTAGGCCCGAAATTAAGGCGTAGATTTCAGGACTTGAGTGGACCTGGTGGGATATCTTGCACAATATTCTGCCAATGTGGGATTGGCACCTCCACATTTCTGGCAGCACTGCAGGTACTGAAACAATTCAATATGTGATGAACGAGCAAATGTGAGGGTTCTAGGATTCCAGAAGGTGCCATGACAACTTTAGCTATCAGGATCCTCATAGATGATTTTGACTACGCTGCACTGAGTATTCTAAGTAGGCAAGATACCGTGAAATACCTAAGCTGATTGCCCCTCCACTGCAGTATTGCAGGGCCACACTCGCTGTTACTGCGAAGACTTTCCGAAACATAATCTGCATATACATGTGGGTGCATTGATGTGGATGATGAGGTGAAGTAGCTAAACCCCCACATCAGCATAGCATGGTTGAGGAAGGACCGAGCGACCCCTTGTGTCACAGCACGTCGTGATGCACCAATGGCAAATCGAGCGAGCCTCATTGCAGCATAATTATGATGGGCGCCTCCTTGCAAAGTTGGCATGGCCAGCGCGGCCACTTCGCATGTTGTTCATTGTGCGCTCCGTTCCTCCCGTCCACTTGGCAATCTTGTCGACCCAAACAAACCCATCAAGCAATGTGTCCTAGTCTGCACGCCATCCACACCATTGGACTGGAACAGATCTCATCAGCGCCATGGCTTTCAGAGTGAGGCTAAGTGTGCGGTTGTAGCACAGCGTGGCCGATTCGTGTCCTGACTGCTGCTTAACCTGAATGCTCAGCTTGACTCATTTTCACCAAAAGGGTCCGACCCTAACCCCCGAGTCATCCAATCTGGACTTTCACACTGGGAACTGCCCCCTCCGGGAGCCACCTGCTTGGGGTCTTCCTTGAAGAGGCATGCACATCGTTCTGCAGCTGCTTTCGAAAGATTCTGGTTCCTAGCATACGGGGCAGCATACTGGTTCTTCTTTATATGACCCAAGGCGCTGTGGATGGACAACATCCTGCAAGACCTTAAATACTCCTTCATGAGACGGTGCACTAATCACTAAACCTACATGAAATTATAGGCAAACTGTACAGGGTAGTTTCCCAAAACAAGGGGACCCCAACGTAGACCCCAAGATGCTATAGTCCATATTATGGGGGACCCCAAAAAAGGTACCCCTGATGTTAGGAAGCCCTGATCCCCATAAACTTTGCCATAAGCCATTCTATAATCCCAGCGTCCATTCCATTGTCCATTTGCTCCATGTGTTTCTCCGATATTGGGGGTAAAAGGTACTCCTAATTTGGAGAAACCCTAAACCCTATGGGCCCTTATATAACCCCCATATAACCCCTATGTAACCCTATAAACCCACATGCGAAAACCCCGCAGAATCGTTTTCGTCGCGGCGGGGCGGTTTGGCTTGGCTCCAGCCGATGCCGGCGGACAAGCCGGCCTTGGGGTTAGGGTTCAGGGTTAGGGAATCTGTGGGGTTTAAGGGTTTATGGGGATTCAGGATTTATGAAAATTTCAGGTTTTGGGGATGTTTGGCTTAGAGTTTAAGGATTTGCTTTTTCCACTTTGAGGGCTTTGTTGCATGCGGACTTAGGGTTTGGGATTGGGTGCTTTGAGCATGACCCGTGCTTTGACTCAAGGATTCGGGTTGTAGCGTTTCCAGCTCTCACCTGTAGGTGTGGGACAAGGTATGCGGAGATTCAGCACGTTGATGTCAAACATGTTCCCATTAGATCTGGTCTGCTATTGGGAATGTGGAATATTGGGAGGGTGTGGAATCTTAGCATATAGGGAAGCAAGTAGCATAAACGCAGAAATGGAATCATCCTCCCTTTCATGTTTTAACTGGTAATATCATTTAATCCTGTCCTTCCCTGGGGATTTAGTGAATGAAGTGTAGCCAAGGCACCACAAAAGGTAGCAAAACATCACCCAAGCTGACCTGCAGGCTGTCCAGTGAGCGAGGGGAGCGCTCGTGAGACTTTTCCATAAAATCGGAGGCGTCTGTCACTATGAACCCAGATACACTAAAATACTGATTAGAGAGACTTTCAAAAAAGGTGACCTCAGAATCTGACTCCCTGTTGCTACTGGGACACACATTGTGACCTTTTCCTCTTCAAATCAGAATGAGAACATCAGGCCTCCGATGAGAGAGTAGGTTCAAACAGCATCAGGACTGCACTACTTTCCTCCTGGTGGCCCAATGCCATTACCTCACCCTCAGACCATGGAGAAAAAACTGATTGTAGAATAGCCCTCTCACCCGTGGGAACGTTGATGTTCAGTCATGATTTGAATGCAACGCCTTCGCCTTTGTGACCCGTTCCCACATGTGCTGCATGATGCTGCATGATCCCAAACAAGCGCCGATGGATACAATAATGGTTCGAAACACCTTAAGAGTTCCTTCTATTCCCTTTCAGATTCTGAGAATCCCAACAAGGTACCATACTTCTGAGAAATGGTGCATATCAAGTGGAGACCACTACTCGAAGGCTGGGCAGCTCGGGGTATTCTCAGGCATGATCGTTCTAATTAGTAATGAGGACTATAGGCTTTGGGGGTATATCCGGGTACACCTGTTGTTGATGCCCATTAAACCTTTCAACAGGATCCCCAGAAAGTGCTCTTGGCTGTTCTATCTGCCTAACCTAGGGACCCTTAAATGCGTTCAGATGGTTCAGAGATTTGACATGGACTTTCAAGAATAAGAGAAGCCCTTGCCATAAGAAAAGTGATGCCAATGATCATGCATGACCCTACCTTAATAAAGGATTAGTGATCAGGTTCGGTGTTGTGTTGTACACAGGTTAATCATGGACTGTGCGGGCAGAGAATAAGGATCCCTTTTTTGGCGTAGGCTAAACCTTGAATCTCCACCACACTTCCTTAGCAGGTCTCCCGTTACATCTCACGACATGTGGCCTCCTCAAAGAGCGCAAGAAGGCTCTCGAGATTCCTCAGCCAAGATTGAAGGATTTGAGCATTGAGTTTTGGGGATGATTTGGGATTCTGGTTGCGCCAATCCGTGGTGTCGTATTCCAAGATTTGCGCTTCTGAACTACTGATTCCACGGTTCCAGCATTCGAGCGCATGGGTCGTCCCAGACTGTCCAGTATGACAATATGACCTGTCTGGTTGCCATAATTGCTGCTGTCCTTGCCTGTCGCAATTTGGCACATGCGTTCTTGGTTGGTGAACTTCTGCACTTGCCACCCAGTCCGTCTGACCTTCACCTGCTAGTTCCAGTTGCCCAAGCAACACCAGAAGTCAAGCCTGCGTGCTGCACAGCATCAAAGGCTGATCGAACTCGGTGATGAAGCCTCGCGGGATCCCAGTGAAAAGGGGCATCTCTAGATACAGTAGCTTGACGACGCGCGCCTTGCACAGACAAGACCAAGACGGCCAAAAGAATTGCAGAAAGCAAGGGCAGCACGTTGTCCACAAGGCCGCGAACTCCGACCTCAGGTACAGGGTGCAACGCATAGGCATCAACTTGGGTCCCTCCCACAATATCAGGTTGGTGACCTTGTCTGCTATTTAGTGTGTTCTAGCGAGCGTTTCCAGATTTCAAGCTGCACATGTTTCCTAAAACGATCTCACCACATTTCCTAGATTTCTTCCAGAGCGCTTGGTCAGAGATGTACTGCCAACTAAACTGTAACCCTGTACTTCCCCGGCCATCTATGCTCTTCATCTCCACGTACGGCCACACTGACCTATGTTATGGGAACAGCCCATACATGCACCCAGCAACCTTGCGAAGGACACCTCGGAGAAGCTACATACCTCACATAGACCAGTATACCAACAGGGTATAGTATATCTCTGTAGAGTTCACCTGTTACCTCACAAAGCAGAAACTACATGCTCCAATATCCAACTCCCTGAATCCCTGAACCCGAAATCTCCCTAAACTAGACCCCACCGTCTTACATCCTTATAGACCCTACATTCCTGCATCTAAGTAGATCTACCAGTGAACCTGGAGCTGTGCCAAGACACCAAGGTGGCAGCTTCCAGTGCTAAGTCACCGAGCCCTTCTTGCCACAAAAACTTCCTGAAAAGAGGCTGTTCTGTTCAAATCCGCGCTACATCATTTGATGCCTAAGACGAACCTGCGTTCTCTGCTTCTAACCCTCTTTGTCCATGGGGGTCTTATTTTAAGACCTCATTTCTGGGTTTAGGGTTTCTGGTGTAGGGTGCAGAATTTGGCGTTCAGGGTCGGGCCGGGACAGGAGAGGCGCAGAAGAGCGAAAGTGGACAGCTAGGGAGAGCTGTAGGGGTAGGACAGGATGCGGGGGATGGCTCATTCTCGCTTCCGCTCGCCATTGAATTTCTTGATTTCCTGGCTGCCATAGCCGCTACTACTGCTGTCACTCTCTTGAATTGTCTTCTTGCATCCCTCTCGATCTAAGAAACACCGCTTCAGCATGCATGAAACCGCATGCACCGAAGGCCACGTTGCAGTCATGGACAGACAGACTCAGCACTGCATCCCGTAAGAGTGTTGAAGTTGAACAAGTTCCTCAGGCTCCCGAACCTCTGAAGCTCTGCAAGGCAGATGGATCTTGGCTGAAAAGCCTTCAGATTGGCACCAAGGATCCTGAACACGAAGCCATCCAGAAAGCCTCGCATCCAAGACTCAGCTTGAATCTGCTGGCATTGTTGCTCCATGTTGCATCTCAGTGGCCGGGGCTGATCACCACTCGCGCCAGCGCCCGTTCGATTCCTGAATCCGCATGGAAGTTTGAAAACACTGGGGATGCGTTTGTTGGTCGTTTTGGGGGACCCTTGCGCAAGGCATCTCGACGTCGTGTACGTACAACACATGAGGGCAGCTGAGGCAGCGTGCACACGAGGTAAACCGAAATCGCCATCCCGCATGCCCCAAGCAACCGCATGTGGCTTCACGACCTATTGACACGTCAGAAAAGACTGCAACTAGTATACATCCACGAAAACCGTAGCACCTTGGTCCCCAGGAAAGCTGTGTGCAAAGTGACTACTCACAACCACAGCTCGAATGTGGGGCCCTGCTAGTCTAGGTGAGCATGCGTGACAATAGGTACTATGCTGCCAGATACTACTATCCAGCAAGGTAATGCAGACGTTCACTGGGATGCAGAGCGGGAAACAAGCCGGTCTATTTTGAGGGGCCTGGCAATGTTGAGCTGGAGCAAAGACCCAAAAGGACGGTACGCTGACGCATCACTCCTCTAATGCATACACGTTGTGGAATCTCACGCAAACCCGCGTGAGCTGCGAAGGTACCAGCAAGTCAGATCATTGTGACGGCTTCGATTGTAAGCAGCCTCAACAACCTCCACTTGCAAGAAAAACATCTTAGCGCACAATATTTTGCACGGAACCCCAAAACTGAGCCAAAAAGGGGACTGAAAGCAAATCTTCACATCCCCTCCCTTCGCCCGGCCTGGCTTCTTTGAGAAGGAGCCGAACACGGAGGCAAAGGAGCCCTCTGTGTGGACCCAGTAGTCCAACATGGTCCGCAGGGCCATGTCCTCAGTGTCTTTCAACCTTCAGGAGAGACATTACCCCATCAATGGGGACGCAAATGGAGTAGAAAACGGAAAATTGAATAGCAGCTGGGATTTTATTATGCTTCGTACGCATTCTCATAAGCCCGATAGATATGTATATAGATACATACACATAGATATATAGATATGTTGTATGTTTATCGCTTTATCTAGATTCCCCATAATAGCCTATACAGTAACATACACCTCGATCTGACTTTGCCCCCCTTGCTTTTTGCTCACTCAGCGGAGCACGTTGCCGCGGCGCAGCAGCAAATCCACGATGAACTTATCGAGGCCTGTGGCTAGCAAACAAAGCTTCTGCTCTGCTCCTGAACCTTACATTGCATTGCTGGCTTGCAAGCTGTGGGCAGTGCCCCCTTTGTCCCCTTTGCTTTTGGCCTGGCTCCAGCAGCATCTCTGTGATGAAGAGCATGGGCTTCTCGCGCTTGGCGATGCGCGCGAACCACTGCTGCATCTTCAGATCTCGGTTCAGCCACCTTCGCCGGTTCGCAGGGCACCCTTGAGTCCCTTCAAGCTGGAGCCTTGTTAAGAGCGCCAAGGCACGTGACAAATCGATAAACTCCCGGCTGTCGGAGTAGTCGGATGACGAAGGCCCTGGCATCCTTGAAACCAAGGAAGTCCTCCACCCTGTCCTAAGCCGGGACTTTCTCCCTCGCTCAAACAGAAACACTTCAATCAAAGAAACAACCGTAGCATACCGTAGCTAGCCAGGAAGCAATGAAGTAGGGCTCCAGCAGCAGCCTGTGCGCAAAGCTGGCTCCACGGGGGTCTCGCAGGAAGCCGCCCAGCCATTGCTCAATGCCTCGGCCACATGACAGCCAAGGGTAAAGTATGCTACAGAGGGGTCCGCCTTTTTGTCTTCCTCGAACCATTTTCAAAAGTGCTTTCAGTGAGGGCACCATGGGCACTAATATAGTATCACTACTATTTATATTGTTATTAATATTACTATTCATATTATTAATACTATTAGTATTAATAGAGACATTGCATCATGCACAGTTCTTTCAGCCTTAGCTCTGGCAACACATGAGCAGCTTTGCAGCCACGGAACCGGGAACAGCGCAGAAGTGCATAGCCTTTGCGGATGGTCCCTGCTAGGTGAAAACATTATGTCATGGCCATGTATATAATGCAGTAGTTTCCATTTTCCTTTCCATTATCCCTATATATCCCCTCTATAACCTAAGGCTAGCTGGAAGGCGCCAAAAATATGAAAAAATGTGACGAAGCCCTTCTGTAGAGGTACCCATAGATCCGCCCCTGGCTCCAAGCAGGCACGCGCAACGGCTGCCGGAAGCTGCCGCCGTCGCTTGTGGACTAAGGCAGCGCAATCCACAGCCTCAGTGCTTGCAGACTGTCCAGGAACTCAAGGGCTTGGGACTTTTGACACCCTCAGTGCCACACTGGAGTTTCGCGCACCACGCACCCCATCAGGACGGCTGTGGACTTGTGTTGGCAAAAACACCTTTCGCGTCAGGAACTTCCATTTCCTGCCCTGGTCACATGCTTTAGAAGATCTAACTTGCCAAATTCGGGAAAGGTGCGCACAGAAGGCGATTGGGAGCAGCGCACAAAGCAAAAACAGCATAACGCGGCCACTAAATTCAGGCAGGCAAACCATGGCAAACCTTTACCCTAAAAATTCCATATCGACATGTCCGTCAAATCCTAACAGCTCAAGACGCTAGTCCACATGCCGACTTGAAGAGTCCATTCATACTGCTTTGCTTGTGTTGGGAAATCCTTGGCAAGGGCATGGGCACATCCCGTACAAAAGGCCTCAACATATCCGGCGGCGCAAAGACAAGGAAGCGTCGAAGGAAGGACCCCATCCCCTGGCGTCCAACAATCCTGCCAAGGCTGGAGTTTCCCCTCCTATTCCAAGGTACGGCATGCAGCTGAGGCTTCAGGGTCTTAGATGAGGAGGTTCTGCGTTGTCGGCTTGGGACTTGCAGCTACGTGTCGAAGTCACACTGGCATCAGAGTGCTTGGGCAAGACATCCTGTAACAGTGTAGAAAAGTCACACAAGCCCAAACGGCCAGATCGACCAGCAAGAAAGGTCCAACACCACAGATTGCAGTAACCCCTCAAAGTTCAATCAATCACCAGAATGGCACCCGTGATCTTGCCAGCACCACCCCGCACCTCAGGATGTGACTTGGTGCGTCCCGGTCTTTGCACAAATCAGCAAGGGCCGAGTCCAAGTTGAGAATCCTGGGCCAGGATTGTAGGCTGACTACAGTGTGAAGGCTTGGTTTGCAGCCTGTCTCTAACTTCTTGAGACCTCCACTGCACCCTCAACCCCACAGGGCTTCAGGTTGGGAAGCTTACTTTGACATTGCGGTTTAAGTCCACTGGTATCCAGGGACCCCAGGGAAAAAATGAAGTATGACAGAGGAGCTCTTACGAAAATCCCACATCTGTGTCAGGAGCATTCACCCGTCGAGCTGCTGAGTGATGCCCCTTTCGGCGTCAGGAATTCGGAGGAGCACCTGACGTTGCTGCGACTTTCATTCGGCAACTTAGCATCACGGGTCATGATGAACTACAATGGCAGACAAAAACAGACTGAACAACTAGAGGTAGTTTGAAACTCCCATACAGGCTCATGTTGCCGCCTGCCCGTTGCTACCTCACACCTTTTGCATGCCCGAAATGTAGCACAACTGATCAACAATCACACATATACGCATGGCTCAGATTGCTAGCAATCTCGTTCTGCATCATACTGGTAAGAACAATGCTTTTGCAATAACAGCCGCGTGTCGTGAATGAAGCCTTTTTCTCGACCCGCCACCCCCTCCACCCACCCACCTACCCACCCACCCGCCCACGCAGCGCGGAGGGTATACTTTCCAGTGACTGCAGGACGGTAATTATCCAACAGGTGCAGCCAATCGTAATGAAATGCACCCATGCAAAGCCTGAAGACAAACCTACATACGCCCAGAAGAATACCGCTTTAACAGAAACGCAGTCCACCAAAAACAAAGGGGTATCCAACTGAGTCTGAGCCGCTGCAAGCGCCCGCGCTGATCGGCGATGCCTCAGGAGCATGATCAGGAGGCGGCCCGTGAGAAGCGGCCTCCACGTGTTTGACAGGCTCTATTCTTCCAAAAAAAAAACGCGGAGTTAGGCAAAAGTTCCTCCACCCATTTCTATGCACCTTGAAGCTTGTGGCATCCTGGAGGCTATGTAGTCCAGAGTCCCTCAAAGCAGATTTTTGTTTGGGGGGAAGGTATGGGACGTCCTGGAACAAGGAGACAGGAGTCCTTTCCCAGGTGCTTTTGGTGTTTCGGGCTTGCTGTCTTGCAGGGAATGAAGAAATTACCGAGCTGTCGAAAAACTGTTTTCGCGGATTATGCAATGCTTTTCTCGGCTCCAGCGGCTTTGCGGTTTGTGCTGTTCTGGGAGTCGCACAAGAACTAGTACAGAGAAGCCTTCTCTTCTTTCGCTGTCTCTTGTTTGTAGCAGTTTTGCCGGCAGTGAATCGGACCCCATTCACGTTCTTAGGTCCATTGCCTCAGCAACAGCACCAGCTGCCGCCACCGCAGCAAGCGCGCGATGATCCACGCTGTGGGCTTGAAGCGCAGGACGACAACTATTGCCTCCGAATGCTACATGGACCACGCAGCTCTTCATCTCCGGGGACAGTTCAAAACTCAAAAACATCATGAAGGTAGCACCTCGCAAAGGCACAGCGAGGCGAAATGCAGCAAGCGTGCTCGTCTACCTGTCAGACTCGCAGCCATGGGGAACTGTTGTGAGCCTCATTCACCTAGTATGTCGGGCTAAGATGGCCACTCCATGATTAACAGGGTGACGTGACTAGACTGCGTGATCCTTGGACGGGAAAGCGATTGCAGCTCGCTGGAATCCCACCTGTCGGCCAAAATTGTTGGCTCCACATTCCAGCTGCAACCTGGCTCTCGTGAGCTTGGGTGAAGGGCAGGATGGACCTCCTATCCTTCTATGCTTAAAACCCCATAGCAGCACGATAAACGTGATTCTGAGCCCCACATGGCATGGCATCCCTACAACTATGGTGAGAGCAGCTGCACCTCTGAAATGAAGACCTCATCGTCCCTCTCGTTTCCACCGTTGTTCGGCAGAACTTCCTTTGGAGGGCTTTCACCTGATCGACGGGCACCACAGGTTTGAGCATACCAGGCTGAAATCCAAAGTTGCAGGCAATCATAATGTGATACAATATGTTTTCCCATTCGCCAAGAAGCCAAGAAGTCGATCCATTTCGTATTCTGTCATCTGGTCCGACAAGTTTTTCACCGCTTGTGCCACTTGGGATGTGCCTTGTTCATTCATGCAGCGGTCATTCAGTGTGTCATGTTGGGTGGCCCGCGAAGCCAAACCCCTTTCCGGTCAGATTCGAACACCCTCTTACCTTTCAGTTGTTCATACTCTTTCATTTTCTGTGTCCCAGCTGCTGAGCTTTGCCGGGTCATCCGACTCGAAGAGCAACGCGCTCCAACGGGTCAACACCCGGCCTCGCCTTACCGCTTGCCTGGCACCGCTGCACACCCTTCGGTGAGACAGCACAAACCATGGCGGTCCCTTAGCCCCTTGAGAACTTGACATGCACCTTCCTGCCACTGTCACAGGCATAATTCACGTTCCCTAGCGAAATGTACCCACCTGAGTCCATCTCGCAGGTGACGAGGGCGCGAGCACGCCTCCACGAACTCATCGAAGTTGAGCTCACCTGCATCACAGAAAGCTCAGTAGCTGGAAGGATCTCACTATACACCCCCACCATCGCCGTTCTTGTCCAGCTCCGCTACGGCCTGCCTCACTTCGCCTGGGCTTCTCTGTCGAGTCTGTGAAAAAATGCTCTCGTCCCACAGAGTGTCCGAAGTTGTCCGGACAGAATCACAGTGCCCAGTCACTCAGCTGCATGTTGATGCCTTGCCAGGGAAGTAAATCCATGGTGCAGCGCGTCAACCCTACCAAGCACCGAGTCCCAGCACCAAGCACATGCTCCAGACTCTAAGCGGAGCCAAGCATGGCCAAGCCTACTACTCGCATTGCCGATCGCAGCTCGCGGGCTGAGATGCCTCCGTTGTCGTCCTCCAGCTTTGAGGACATTTCGGGATAATGTGCAATTCGGAAATTGGATTCCCACCAGCAAGGCTTGTAAGGGTTTTTGGGAGGCATGCTTTACTCATGACCTATATTGTTTGAGGAGCCCTGGGCTGTTTGTCCCCTGGGTCCGTGTCGGCCAGCTCGAAGAGATCGCGCAACTCCTTGCCTCAGGGAAAGCTCCGGAAGGAACTTCTGATTGAATCAAGAGCATGATAATGCGAAAGAATGCTAGAGGTGGCCATCAGTCTTTCTACAAGGTCCTACTGCTGCCGACCCTCACCTTGAGAAGCTTGATTTGAAATCCAAGGCACACTGCTCGCCGGGAATGCGCAGGGGCAAGGTTTCGGGAACCGTGGCCGCTAGGCACACCCTCGAAGATCTTGCGCAGAGCCTGTGCCAAGTTCCTAGCCTTACGTTGGTGTGGATGATCTAGCGGAATGTTGCGCATACACAACGAGCCACCTGAGGCGGGCAAAGAATCCGTGACCGTTTACGATGCTGGCACCAATTCATACTTCCATCCTACGGGAGTGTTAACTCAACACGCTCAGCAAGTCGTCCGGGAAGCATCCTCGCACGGATGCCTGGACATAAAAACGTCGCGTACACCCTTGTTTCACCCTCCACAACTCACATTTTGCTTGCTACCTCCTCTGCTCTCGTCGCTGTACAGCCCAGAGCGGCGCAGCCGGAATCAGCAGGAGTGGCCAGCGCTGGGACAGGAAGTGGCGCTCTGGCCTCGTCAGCTTGCGCATCCAAAGTTGCCTGGCCTGTAGAACGTGGGCTTCATGCAAACACCTGTTGTATGTACACGTGATTGTGGTGCCGTTCAGAAACTAGGAGACAATCAATGCAGACGTAAAGAAGCGCATTGCAATCAATGAGACCTTTCACTCGATCAACTCCCAGCGAAAAGACTCGATGGTCATCTTCAAGACATGTTATCTTGTTACAGCGCCAGTATAGCGGACATCGCGACGACTCCCATCTTGTGCGACTCTCCTACATAATTTCCCTTCTTAGTAATTGTAACCCGTGGGTGAGATCGCGTAGTTCGAGGAAAGGCTAGGACTAAACCCCTTGAAAAACGCCACGCTTCATAGAACAGCATCACACCTTGCCTGCGTGAGGTGCAGGATCCCGTGCTTGGAAGCTCTGCAATTGGCCGCCATGGCGCCAAGTACATTCGACTCACCCGGACCGGGCTTCAAGTACAGATTTGTGCTTTACTTAGGGGAGCTTGGAAGGTCTAGATTTGGGGTGTCTCCAAGGTGTTTTGGCTACTTCCGCTTATCAAAGGAATCCGGAGTTTAAGAGAGATCCAGATGGTCAAGGTGTATACAAGGCTTGGTCGGCATGCCAGGCTCCGGTCAGCGAAGTGGCGAAGTGAGGTGGAAGTGTGAAGCTGTTCTGCGAGGCTTCAGGTCTCATGTTGAGGGCCGGAAGTGCTTCTGCAGATTCGCATCTGAACAATGCCAGACCTGAGAGCAAAACACTGTGGCCATAAAACACAACAGATGACAAATCCTTCAAAAAGTCGCGGCCACTGCAAGAACCCTCAAAATGTTGGACAGCAGCCGTTTTTGCTCCTACGGCGGCGATGGTGAAAGGTGCTGATACTTCTTGCGGTAATATTCCGTCTTGCAGTAGGTCTCCTGCCACACACAGCGCTTCTACAACAGAAACACTAACTGCACAGCTTTGCAGCGTGGCGTCCTTGCAGTACACTATATCACAGTGGTAGTTGCCCTGAGCACAGGCCAACTTGGCATAGGGTACGGCCTGCTCCGTGGTGTTGAAGTGTGTATACCTTGGCGTTTGGTTCCTTTACGTCTCGAGCTGTTGGCACTGCGTATAACCACATTGTGCACACCAAGAAGCGTGTCCACAGTCCGAGGATTGAAATCCAGCGTCGTGTTCGGTATATCACGAAAACCTGCTTTGCTTTTCCTAGTAGCTGCAGTCATTGCATCCATGCATCCATGGGGCAAAATACTCCCACGGCAGTAAGGACACATCCGACAAGGGAAGAAGTGGAATTCCGGCCTACACTTTGCCAACCACCAGGCTCAGGGTAGCGCCGGTTGCCTGGCTGCAAGAAGTCAATGCCATGCCGAAAGGCTTGTTCTCACGAACTCAGCTAGATCTCTTGCGTCTGAGTCGCAAATCTCGATGCCCTGCTTCGCAGTGGTCTGAGCCGACACTTCCTCATTCTGGCAGTGGCCCGCCAGAAAGCAGTAGCTAGCGTCCATCTCATCTAAGGGGTGCATCAGCACCTTAGGCCCAGGCATGTCAACTGTCACTGCTTCACTGATTAACTGTAGAGCACTGAGCAAGCTGCATCTGGATCAAACAACCCTCTTGCTGCAGCCTGGCTTCTGAGTAGCGGAACTGCGCTCTCGCGCTGGCCATAGAATCACCCTACCGGGGCAGGATGTGGTGTGTGCGCTGACAGGATATTCGCCGTCCACGTGACTTCTCATGGCTACTGGGACTGTTTAGTCAATCCCGAGGATTCACAGCAACGAAGCGGCTCATAACAGCCAATTTGTCTTATCCAATCTTGCCGGTTCTATGTAGGTGAACTCAGGAGCAGCCAATCCCGAGAACGGGCTACCTCAAGCTGAAATGGCAATTGCCGTTACACATCAAGACTGGAATTGCAGAAGCTGGTGTGTGATTGCTACATTTGGTGTATATGCCTTGCTGACAAGGCTGCAAAACTTATCCTAGCACTGTTGGCTGCTCAAGACATACCTTCGACTGACAGGATCTTGGAATGTTGGAGATGCTGCTGTGAACAGTTTCCTCTTCTTGGGGCATCCACGGTGTCACCAGGACAATGCTTGTATTATTGGGGGGGGGACATTGATACGTAACATACAAGTTGTGGGGCTAATGCACGTATGCGTCTACCTTTCCAGAGGTCCCGATAACAGCTGGAGGAAGCGCCTGAAGTTGCTCGGTGCATGTTTTCTTGGTCATCGTTTGACTGGGCCGCAGTCTTGCGCAAAGAAACAAAAGAAATGCCTCTAGAGACGTTTACATGTATTACGTGCACAGGATGCCGAATATCACGAATCTCTTTGGTCCCATATCAACAATCCAACAGCACTTCCAGTTTTCTGAAAATTGTAGCTATGCAAACCCGAATTCCCTGGCAACACATGTGCTAGCAACCCTCGTCGGAGAAAGCTTTCGACTGTAAAAGTCACACAACCTACTGCAGTTCATCAGAGCGCGAGCTCCCATGCGCTGCTTCACTTGAAAAGCATCGGCCCTGTGCAGTGTCGCACGAAGGCACTCAGCCTGAAATTAAATGTAGCGACTGAAACACCCCAAGCTCCTTCCGTTTTTAAGCCCCTGGCCTTGGCGAGACACTCCTTCACAACGAGATCCCAGTAGGAAGGGCTCGTGAAGCACCACGAATTGATGTTGGGCTTGCCCGGCCTTGGCATGTATTACCCTGATGCCTCTACGAAGAAAATGCCTGTCTACTTGCGAAATCTCTCTTCTTCTGCTCGCGGAGGTCCCATGATGCATCCCAAAAAGTGTGGAAAGCTGTTGTAAACTTGGAAACTTTCTGCTTGGGCCCAGATACGTCTTGACCACCTGATAATACAGCTGCTTCAGCTCCTGCTTCATCTCCTCTGGCGTGGGCACCTCGCCTCAGCAGAACGTGTCCTTCTGGACAAGCACTAGTCTGCTTGTTCTACTCAGTATTGTCGGGATTTCCGGGGTCCCCTGCTAACGTTTTGGAGAAATCCATATGTCAACCATTCCTACACTCCTACCACCCCAGACCCATAAACCCCTACACCAAGCCCAAACGCTTCAGCAATTGAACCCTAAACTCCAAAATCCTGAAACACTCCTTGTCACTACTATTATTACTATTATTACTACCATCACCAACTACTATTATCCATGCAAAGCTCTTGAGCCCAAGCAGCCTTGCGAGGTGCGGCACTCGAGAGGATTGCCGCAGAGCCAGGGATACTCTGAGCAAAGGGCCTGCCATCAAGATTTCAAGTGCTATAGGGTTTAGGGATTAGGGATTAAGGGTTTTCTGGGGTGTGAGGGGTTTCTAGGGCTTGGTGTTGGGGCTACCCCTAGATTTCAGATTTCTGAGAAGAAGTACAACTGGCCAGCAAACCGCTTGCATCTGAAATCGATCCGTCGCATGCATCAGCCACTTACCTTCCTGTGCCCAGGTTGAATCACCTCTTCTCCATTTGCGTTTCCGTTTGATTCTCCATTATTGGGGGATAATTACTTTGGGGTTGGGTACTGTATCAATTCATGGTTCAAAGTGGCAGGTCCCCCTCGGCACCCTGCAGGATGATACATCAAAGATGGACCACCAACCCTGGCGACCCCAACTTAGGTCACTTGCAACTTGCAACTTCGTTGAACCCTGGGCTTTGCGTCTTCAGGGCCTTTCTAGGCTCGCAGCTCCAGTCTTGGCTTCAGGTGTAGGTTTGACTTTCTTGGTATATCGGTCCGGGGTTTGAGATCTGTGCTTAGTTTTTTGTGACCGCGGCTGTGGTTTTAAAGTCTGTGTGAGCTGGCCACGCATCTCGTAATTTCTGGAGGCATAAACAAGGCCAGCTGAGCTCACATAGCTGATAAAATCGCTAGTACCAGCCTGCAGTAACCCCCCTGGGTGCTGTATGCCAACTCAGGAAATGATAGTAGTGGTTGTCATTTTTCTTTTCCATTATCCAAACCCCAAACCCTAAACCCAACATACCCCAATTATTCTTACCGTCCCAGCCTTCAGGAACTGTGCAAACAGGTTTTGCCCCTTCTTAGTTCCAGGCCCGGTGGCCATGAAGCTAGGCCTGAGGCCTCCTATTATGCATAGTACTATCATTATGTTTTCTATTATTCTCTCTAATTCAATTACTTATAACGATAAGGAAATTAATCCGCCGACCCCGCTCTGCG